TCTATGTGAAATTGTGGATGGTAGGTTAGATCCGAGAAGAATTTAAACTAGGCCCGATGTTTGGAAAACTTATTTCATACCTCATATGATATTATTATAAATTAATTTAAATAATTTATTTGTGGTCTCTTACAGATAAATGGTTTGAATTAATTTGTATATTGTCACATCAATAGGTTTTCAAGGCCATGAATAATTGTTCTGATATTTGGTTCGCACGTAAAGAACAAACACGTGTAAAGGTTTCTATATTAAAAAAAAGAAAAGAAGAAGAAATAGTCTTGGATTGATTTATCACTTATTAATTTTAAATTTTGAAGTGAACATAAATTTTAAAATAATATATGTCGAGAGATTGACTTTTCTAGCAAATTTCTTCACCCTTGTAAATATATTTTTAACTAGCATATTACTCGTACTATGTATGAAAAAAAATAATATATTATTTAATAAAAATATGATAATTATATTTAATTTTTTTATATTTTATAAAATAAAAGTTAAATAGAAGTTAACAAATCAAAATTTTCTTACTTATTTAAAATTAAAAAAAAAATCAAAAAGATTAGTATAAGCAATTGATCATAAGGTTTCTCACTAAAAATCTCATTTTACTTATATAAATAAAAGTATAAGATTCATTTTATGTAAGTGAAGCAATTCACTTTTTTCTTCTTTTCTCGATGTGAGATTATAAAATAAAAGTTAAATAAAAGCCAGCCAATTGAGATTTTCTTAATTGTTTAAAAGTTAACAATTGTTTCGGCGGGAAGTTTATTTCAAATCAAGCAATTTTAACCGTTTAATCTTTAATTAGGTCAATTCTTAATTTATTTCAAATGAAACAAATTTAACCAATATATTTTGATAAAACTACTAAAATCGTAGTTAAACTAGCGAATCAGTCAAACCAAAAAACGATTCATCCTATTGGTTAGGTCAAAGGACCAACCAACTTATATAAAAATTAATTAATTAAAAATTTTAAATTTTATTTTAATTTTAAAATTTAAACTGTCTGGAACTGAAACATACACAACACTACAATATTAAATGGAAGTATAAAGTTTTTATAGTAAAAAAAAACTCATTTTTTCCTCCTTTTCCTGATATGGGATTGTAAAATAAAGGTTAACAGTTGTTTAGATAAAAAATTCATTTCTAGTAATGAGGCCAATCTTAATTTATTTCTAGTAATTTCATTTCTAGAAACAGTTGTTCAGTCGTTCAATTTTTAATGAGGCCAATCTTAATTTATTTCAAATCAAACAAATTTAAGTAATATATTTTGATAAAACCGTTAAAACTGTGATTGAACTAGTAAATCAGTCAAGCCGAAAACGATTCAGCCTAATCGGCTAAGTCAGAAGACTAACAAATTTACAACAAAATTAATTAATTAAAACCTTTAAATTTTATTTTAAAATTTAAACCATTTTAAACTGAAACATGCATAATACTATAATATTAAATGAGAGTATAAGATTCACTTTATATAAGTGAAACAATTCACTTTTTCTTTCTTTTCTCGATATGGGATTGTAACACTTTATATAAGTGAAACAACTCACTTTTTCTTTCTTTTCTCGATGTGGGATTATAATTATTTTAAAATTAAATATTATGAGAGTTTTAAATTCTCATACAAAATTATTTTTAAAATCAAAACTATATGAAATTGTAAAATAAAAGTTAAATAGAAACCAGCTAATGGGTAAAACTCTCATTTTGCTTGTCACTTATGAGTATGAGAATAAAAAAAAATCTCCTTTTGCTTATCACTTATGAGTAAGAAAAAAAAAAAAAAATGAGCATGGGATATTGATCAGAGGACTTCTTACTAAAAATTTTCTTTTGCTTATATAAATGGAAGTATAAGATTCACTTTATGTAAGTGAAACAATCCACTTTTTCTTTCTTTTTCTGATGTGGGATTATGAAATAAAAGGTAAATGGAAGCTAACCAATGAGAATTTTCTTAATTGTTTAAAATTAAGAAAATTCAATAATTTTAGAATAAGGGTTTGGAGCTCCTTGAAAGCTTCTCCCTAAAAACCTCATTTTCCTTATATAATATATAGATAGATAGTGAAACAAACTTTGTCTTTTTTTTTTTTTTTTGAGATAGATAGATATTGAAAAAAATCAATAAAATTAGTTTGAGATATTGAAACTAAATGAGATAGGAGTATAAAATTTCCTTTATATGAGTAAAACAACTTATTTTTTTTCTTCTTTTCCCGATGTGAAATTATCAAATAAAAACTAGTCAACGGAGATTTTCTTAATTGTTTATTAAGAAAATTAAGAAAGTTAGTATGAGATATTGAAACTCTCACAAGACTCCTCACTAAATGGGATGGAAGTGTAAGATTCCCTTTATATGAGTAAAGCAACTCAATTTAGCCAATGAAAATTTTCTTAATTATTTTCTTAATTGTTTAAAATTAAGAAAATGAAGAAAATTAGTATGAGATATTGAAACTCTCATAAGACTTTTCACTAAATGGGATGGGAGCATAAGATTTCATTTATGTGAGTAAAACAACTCATTTTTTTTTTCTTCTTTTTCCAATGTAAGATTATTAAATAAAAATTAACCAATAGAGATCTTTTGAATTGTTTAAAATTAAATAATTAAAAAAATTCGGATAAGATTTTGGATCTCTCACGAACCTTCTTAGTACAAAGTCCTTTTTTCTTATAAAATAAGATTCTATTGTCATGGCTTTATTGTTTGGAAAAAGATTATAAAACAAAATAAATTGATAAATCTCAAATATTTTTTCCAAAATTAGTCCCACTAAACACACATACATAGCTATGATGCGCTTATCGTTGTAGAAACTATAGCTCAATCTAGCTCACTGTGCAAGTCACTCAAGGGCATAGAAAAATATGGAGTTTTTGAGAGATAGGGGACTTTGAACAACAGGTCAGAAATTAACATGGTTCTAGTGTTGTAGGAGCAAAGATTTTTTTGTAGTTCAAAAAAAAAAAACAAATCGTAGAACCACATCAATTTCCTTCAAGAATCAATAGCAACTCAAGATTTTTTAAAGAATAATGCTTGGAACCCCTTTTGGGGTCACCCCCTCACCCCCCTTTTGTCACGTGGCGGGTAGTGATTGGAGGAGCAGGAAAAAAAAAGAAAAAGAAAAAGAAAATATAACCAATGAGAGAGAGAGGGGGTCAAAGGGGGTGGGAGGAAAGGGGGGATGAATCATTGTTGCATAATTTTTGTGGATGCGTTTCTGTATTTTCTATATGTCAAAATAACATTATTGTATATATTTAGTGCAAACAAAATATTTACAAAATATATCAAATTATGCTCATGGTTCAGTTCTTAAGGTCAGGCTGCAAGAAAATTTCTAGTGTATTTTCTAATCGTGGCGTGGATGATTTTATTTTTTTCAAAATTTATTTATAGTTTTCTTTGTCTAGTGTTGTAGGAGCAAAGATTTTTTTGTAGTTCAAAAAAAAAAAACAAATCGTAGAACCACATCAATTTCCTTCAAGAATCAATAGCAACTCAAGATTTGTTAAAGAATATTACTTGGGACCCCCTTTTGGGGTCACCCCCTCACCCCCTTTTGCCACGTGGGGGTGGTGATTGGAGGAGCAGGAAAAAAAAGAAAAAGAAAAAGAAAAAGAAAAAGAAAATATAATCAATGAGAGAGATAGGGGGTCAAAGGGGATGGGAGGAAAGGAGGATGAATCATTGTTATTTTTTAAAATCTTAAATTGAATACCACAATGAGGCCTTAGGTCTCAAGGCCTTTGTTAGTTGAGTTATTGGGCAAAAATAATTTTTGTGGATGCGTTTATGTATTTTCTATATGTCAAAATAACATTATTGTATATATTTAGTGCAAACAAAATATTTACAAAATATATCAAATTATGCTCATGGTTCAGTTCTTAAGGTCAGGCTGCAAGAAAATTTCTAGTGTATTTTCTAATCGTGGCGTGGATGATTTTATTTTTTTCAAAATTTATTTATAGTTTTCTTTGATTGAGTTTTCATAACTTAATTTTTTTTTTCAAAAATTGTAAATTAGCTTGAAAAAAATAAATTCAATTTTTTTTTTCAATTTCTAGAAGTTATTTCTAGCCCAGAAATAAAAAATTTATATAAAAATATTGAGTACTTTTAATTTTTGGATAAATTACATTGGCCTTCCATAAGATTTGAAGAAAATACAATGTCTCTTAGTTTTGGAATAGTTATATTTAATTCTTTTAATGTTTTAATTAACATAAACTTAATCCAATTTTCATATGTAATTTGTTAGTCCTTTAAATAAAAAAAATAAATGATGATATCATTTATTTTACGTTGAAATATATATTTATATATATTAATTTTTTTTTTAATCTCTGTATTAGTTTTGATCTCTTTAGACTGTGTTTAGTTCATAAATTTGGATAAGAATTTTGAAACGGAAAGAAAAAATGTGTGTAAAATGTAATTATATTTACATTTCACATACATTTCCCAAATCCTTACTATGTGTGCTAAAATATATATGACCACACAACCAATACTCTGATTAATGTGTAAAATCCGTTGAGTATTTCATCCCTGTAAAAATTTACGTTGATCGGATATCTGTAGTCACTTGGTCAAATAAATTATGATTTTAACAAAATATAATCTAATCAAGTGGCTATTGATATTCGATCAATGTGATATTTTATAAAGATGAAGTACTCGATGAGTTGTATACAGAAAACAATTTAAATTATCGATACAGGCTCCATGGCCCACGGAGGCCCAACAGTATACTCCAATTAGTATTTTCAATTGAAGAGAACCATGCGCATACACACAAATACAAACGGTCATTGATATATAAATCCAAAATTTAGACGCAATTGTCAAGGCTAATAATGTGACAATCAATTAGGATATCTAAGGCAATATTCTCTCTCATATCTTTTTAATCATCAACCAATTATATTACTTACACATTATTAAATTTAAAAAATAAAACTAGAAAATAGATTTTTATATTATTTTCCATTACAATAACAAAAAAACACAACGCATGCTCCTACTAGGACAAAATATTTCAAACAACTTGGAGCACGTCTCGCATGGATCCAAACATAGGTAGCTAGAATGAATCCAAACGTTTTTTAATATTTATTTTGACAACTTATTGGGGTTCTATTCTTGTTGTAGCTATATTGCTCAGCTTCTAGCTTTTAATATGGGAGATGGCTGTGTATAAAGGAGGCAACATGAGAAACATAAAGACGACCAGAGCAGAAGAAACAATAGAAATCACGGACACGGCTGCGCCGAGAGACTTGGAACTCCTGCACGACAGTTTCCCCAACCGAATCTGGATGATATCAACCATCGAAAGCATCAAGAAAAAATAAGCAAAAAACGTGGCCAACCCTGCTACAAACACCATCATTTCCCTAATCTTGTGTTTCAATTTCTCACCACCACCGTAAATGTTGAGATGAAGCTTGATTGCCATAACCACAACAGTGGATGAAATGAAGCAACTGAAGGACAGGACCTCGAACAAAATTAGCCTCTTGGCGACTATTGTTCCTGCATCGCAGTCTGCCCGATTCTCCAGGCTGTGCTGCTCAGCCGTAGCCAGGGCTAATCCCAGGAACACTGCTAGGGTGAACAGTTTGTTCACGTTTACTAGATCATCCACTGCTTTGTTGTAATCCTCTGTCGAAATTTTAGATGTCCTGAAATATCCGAAAAAAAAAATAAATAAAAAATAAATAAATAAATAAATAAATCAAAGCAAATCATAAGTGATTTAAAAAGTTAGACATTTGATAAATATTGCGGAGAAATCAAGGTTTACCCATACATATTGTTCTGTTGGTTTGGGATTTCGTTTGTTCTTGGTTGTTCTTGGTTGTCAAAGTTGTGTAAGCTGCATATCTCAGGTATATAAGGGCAATCCTAGATATCTACAAGATAAATAATAGATATTCTCTCTATTATGACTTGGGAAGAGATTGTTTTTGTTTATATATTTTTTTTATGTCCGCGTAAAATTTGCACGTGATTTCTAAGCCTATTAAATGCCTGTTGAAAATGAATATTATTTGAATTTGATTGTGACTATTAAAAAATATATCTTACATCTCTGATTTAAAATAATAATAAAAAATTCATATAAGACAAAATCTCACTGATGACATTATCACCTGTAAAATTAACGTATAAGCCTTGACGTCCTTTTTGGTATGGGTTGTTGGCTTTTTGGCTAATTTAGTAACTTTTTGACTAATTGACTAAAATAGCCTCTTGCCAAACGAGGCCTAAATGCCTGTTGAAAATGAATATTATTTGAATTTGATTGTGACTATTAAAAAATATATCTTACATCTCTGATTTAAAATAATAATAAAAAATTCATATAAGACAAAATCTCACTGATGACATTATCACCTGTAAAATTAGCGTATAAGCCTTGACGTCACTACTTCTTCCCTCCCCATGGCGAGCTCAGATCCTCTCGCATTATTTTTTTCAGTATTTTCTCCACGTCACACTATTAAAAAATTTGTGGCTCAAATTGCGTCAACTTAGAAAAAATAAAATAAAATAAAATAAAATAAATTTAAATTTGTATCAACAAAATTGAGAGTCTTTCAATTTTCACTCCCATATCTTCTCATTAACATTTTCCATCCTTCTTGAATTCTTCACCAGCGACGACTCCATCTCGCACAATCAAAACTCGGCAGCAACAAATATCAACAGCAACCTCCCCTCTCGAAACCTACTCTTGCAAAGTGGGTTTCTAAAAAATTCTTATTGAACAACAAATGGAAAAATCGAAAATGAAAAATTGGTAATTAGAAAATGGAAAATGATTCCAAAAAAAATGAATTTTCAAAAAATTCTTGTTGAACAACAAATGGATTCAGAGAGAGGAGTGGAGTTGTTGCCTACCCATTTTCATTCTCTGATCAAAAATAAATATTCTCACTTTCTTTTCTTTATGGATTTTGCTACATTTGTACCCATGCAACGGAGAATATATATACATATATATATATATATATTACTCTTCTCTCTCTATATACATATATATATATATATATATATTACTCTTCTCTCTCTAAAAGTCAATTATTTGTATGTATGTAATCATTCTCTTATGTATATTATCAATGTAGAGACACTTAGAAAATAGTCTTGCATAATCTTGCATATAAGTAGAGTTGAATGAGTTTTTGAATGTAATATGAGTTGAACTTCACATAGAAAAAATCAAATTAAATAGATTAATAAAAAGGATGAATCACTATATTCATCAACAATACAACAATAACAATAATATAAATACTCTCCAAAAGTAACAACCGTCAAGTTTTAAAATTTGGACAATTAAATATTAAATTAAGACTAAATCTCAATCAATATTCCATCACCCAAATCCTAAGGGTGAAACAAAATCTGAATGTTCTCGTCTCCATAAGATTTAATTAAATTTCAATGCTCAAAAAAAAAATACAAGGGATAAAAAAAAAAAAAAAATTAACAAACGCCAACCAAACCATCCATCATAAATTCATGACTATCTAATACCTTCAACATTAAAATAACCTACTGAACCAATCAGCATACACTTGGGTGATTTCGTAGACATAATGCGAGCGGATGCGGTTTAAAATATAGCATAATTGCAGGTTTAACCTGCATCCGCAAGAACCCGCCTGTACTTAGATTTTTTTATTATTTATTTTTATAAAAAAAAACCTGGTGCGTTGATTTCATTCATCCTATCCTAGATATTTTTGGCCAACATACCAAACCCTAATGTAATTTCATTCAGCCTCTCTTCTTATCTCAATCAATCTCTCTCTCTCTCTCTCTCTCTCTCTCTCTCTCTCTATGGTGACCGTAGTGACTGATCAACCTTTGACAATCGGTGACCTTCTCCAGTAAGATCGACCTTCGACGATCGGCGACCTTCGATTCAACGATCAGTGATGTTAGTCCTAAGGTTATTTATCCTTAAAAATCTTTTTGATTTTGATCATGAACAAATAATTTGAATCTATTTCATTATTTAGAATTTTCAAATTAAAAATTGTGTTTCATGGTTCTAGAAGTCATATAATTCTAAAGTATTAGTTTTCAAATCATTTTTGGGCCCTCAAAACATGAGCATCAAAATTTGGTTGCAATACTCTATCCTTGATTAACACAGGTCCAAGGGTCGACACCAAGAGTAGCAAGGGTCGACACCAAAGTGAACCTTAAGATATGTGTTCCAGAACCAAGGGTCGACACCAGAGTAAAACTAAAAAAATGTAAGTGTTCCAGATGCAAGGGTTGACACCAAAAAACAGCAAAGGTCGACACTAAAATTCAGTACACAATTCAGCCGCAGGGGTCGACACCAAGTATGCTAAGGGTCAACACCAGGAACACCTGGAAATCAACTCAGGGAAGAAAAGACAGAGCAAATGGTCGACACCCAATCTGTCGGGGTCGACACCTTTATGTCTGGGTTTCAAAAAACCCTTGCTGCCATCTTCCAAATCTAAGAGGGTTCCTGTGACATCATCATCAGACAAATCCTATTCTAATCAAAAGGAACTTTAGGACATCAACCTCTGACTTAGTGGAGGAAATATTCTCCACCCACACCACTCCCAAGATTAGAAAAAGCAAAAAGCTATGAGATAACATTATCTCCATCCACTAAGGTTTGAATCTCAAGTATGGACATCATATTGTTTGAGAAAGCCCCATATCCAACAATCAGATGACAACCTGTATCACAAATGCTCCACTTTCAACAGCTGGAAGCTTTCTCCTTGCCCAGCTCCAACGGTTAGAAGAACCATGTGTGTGTGTTTCTACTCCAAGAGAGAAGTCGGATGGAGGCTATAAAGCTGGATCCGTTCCAGATCTAAAAACAAGAAACTACACTGCAATATACTAAGCATTTAAAGCATCATCAATCTCTGAAATTCTATTTTTGTACTCCTATTTTCAGATCTAAGTGAGTCCATAATTTACTTGTGAGCTTACACTTTCATATCCATCTTTTGAGAGATAACATTTGTAAAAGAGGACAGTTGAACCTCTTTTTTTAGTTCCTTAGTTTCTGAGTGAAACGCTTGTAAGGTAAGGCATTTTGTTGAGAGATCCTCAATACATTGAAGTAAGTCCTTTGTAAAAATTCACAAGTTGGGAAAAGTTTAGTTGTGCATCGATTCATAGTGAAGAAATTCTCAAGGAGGACTCTTGAGAAGTGGACATAGGCCGGTGAGCCGAACCATTATAAATCTTTGTGTTAAGTCCTTTTCTTTTACTTTCTGTGAGTCTATTGATTGTCTGTTGTATTTAATTTCTTAAGTCTTTTTTAACCTTATTTTTGGACTAAATTTTTAATAACCCAATTCGCCCCCCCTCTTGGGTTGCTTTCCTGTTTAACGATTGGTATCAGAGCCTCGCCTCTAGTAATGTGACTTAACCGTCTTGGAGTAATCTATGGCAACCCCTAGCTCCTCTCTCCCTGAAGGTCAAGCCTCAAACAGACCACCCTTCTTCAATGGCACAAATTTCAACTATTGAAAACCTCGCATGATTATGCATATTCAATCTACTGACTATGAAGTTTGGAAAATCATATGTGAGGGTCCTAAGGTACCCACCAAAACCATAAATGGTTTGTTAGTACCCAAACTTGAGAGTGAGTGGACTAGTGCTAACTATAAAGATATTCAATTAATGCCGAAGCTGTTAATATGTTGTATTATGCACTTGATGCTACTGAGTTTAACAGAATATGCACTTGTACCACAGCAAAAGAAATTTTGGATAAACTTGTTGTAAGTCATGAAAGAACCACTCAAGTTAAAGAATCTAGTGTAAGCTTACTTATTCATAACTATGAGCTCTTCAAAATGAAACCAGATAAGAACATATCCCAAATGTTCACTCGCTTTACAGATATTATAAATAGTCTTAAATCTCTTGGAAAGACTTACACTAATGCAGAAATTGTCCAAAAAGTCCTCTGATCATTGCCAAAAAGTTAGGAGAACAAAGTTATTGCAGTGATAGAAGCAAGAGACTTGTCAACATTGAGTCTTGATGAGCTAATGGGATCTCTCCTAACCCATGAGATCATTATGCAAGAAGGAAAAGAAGAACAAGACAAGAATAAGAAGAAAGGGGTCTTTTTCAAGTATACTACAAAATCTCAAAAGGAAGAAGAAGATGCTTCAGAGGAAGATGAAGAAATGGCTTTCATTACTAAAAGATTCAAAAGGTTTGTGAAAAAGAAACAAGGTGTAAGGAAGTTCTTCAGAAAAGACTTCAACAAAGATCTTCAAAAAGGAGAAAGTCATAAAAAATATGAAGTGATTTGCTATGAATGTAACAAGCCGGGACACTACAAATCAGAATGTCCAGAGCTTAAAAAACAATTCAAGAAGGATAAAAAGAAGGCCACGATCGCCGCATGAGGAGAAGACAGTGATGACAGCGACTCGGAGATAGATAGTTGCAAAAATGAAGTTGCAAATCTATGTCTGGTGGCACTTGAAGATGAGGTAAATGATGACTCTTTTACCTTTGATGAATTACAAACTGCTTTTGATGAACTGCATGCTGAATTTAGAAAATTAATTCTGAAAAGTAGTTGTCAAAAGAAAATGATCTCAAGCTTATCTCAAGAAAAGGAATCCTTAACTTCTAAGATCAATACTCTAGAAAATGAAGTCTTGACAATGGAAAAGAAGAAAGAATTCTCAAAGGAAAAAGAATTCTTCATTTTTGAAAAAAAGGTAGACGATTTGCAAAGGGAAAATGAAATTTTGGAAAATGAGAAAATTGTCTTAAATGAAAACATAGAAGATTTAAAAAATGTTCTTTCAAAATTTACTCAAGATAGAGATACCTTAGACAAAATTCTCAAAAGTCAAACTCAAACCTTTCAAAGAATGGAGATTGGCTATAAACCTTTTT